AGATAGCTGAACTTAAGCATGAAACCAGTGCCAACCGAGACCCGCATCCCGAAACTCTACAAAATCATTCAAAGCGCACCTGCCGGGTCCAGGGCTGCAGACTTCGATCAGGGCTTGCCGCAGGGCGGTCCGGACAAGTGGCCCCACGGCTCTTTTGGAGAGCTGCTATACTATACAAGCATACTAGACTCGAAGATACGCTAATTTTCTGGAAACATACGATAATGCAAAAAAATTACTATAGTAACCCCTTCAAATCTTCTCCGCAACGCTTGCGCGGGCTTGCGGTGCTTCCTCACGATCTTCATCCAGATTGCCCTCACCGGTGCAAAGCTCACTTGAGTTCTGGCCTCGACCGCGTTTGATGCTGGGAGTTTCTTGGGCCGCAGGGTGCGATTTAGGGCTTTTGGGGCTTGCGATTTAGGGTTGAGAATGATGTGGAAGCGGGCTTGCCCCACTGGCCCCGAGCACCTCACGAAGATCGGGATCAGAACGGGCCAGGATCAATAAAGCTCAACCTCCGTAGGGCAGGTGGTGCACGACGGGAGTCGGCGTGACAGCGCACCCTCAGAAGTTCCTCTCTCTCTCCGGGACCCCGCCGGGCCTTCCCCCGGTAGCTTCCACGATGGCCTGTACAGGACAAGGCTTCGGAAACCGCGCACGAGCCCTGCGAACCGCCCAGGCCTGCTCGCACTCGGCGGTGACGTTGTTTTCCCAGAGCTCAATTTCGCGAACTGTTGTGTTGCTATTCAGAGCCTCGGCAAGCGCCTCGCAGGGAAACGGCAAGACAGCGGTGGCTACTGCTGGCGGACCTTTGGAGCCACCAGACCCCTCTGCTTGTGTCAATCCCTGGCACCACCGGGCCTTCCCACCCTCCACGCCGATGATGTTGTTTCTGAGGTCGATGAAGGCGAGCGTGGAGTTGGTCTTCAGCACTTTGCCAATCGCCTCACTCGGGAAATTAAACCCTGCTCGAGCAAATCTGACTCACCTGAAGCCCTTCGTGCCTCCGCACCCTCATCGCCGATTTCGCAGCCTCTGAGGTGGATGCTGGTGACTGTGGAGTTGGTCTCCAGCGCTTCGCAGATCGCCTCACACGGGAAAGCAACCCTGCTCGAGCAAATCTGACCCGCCTGAAGCACCCGCGCCTCCGCACCCTCATCGCCGATGTAGCAGTTAAAGAAGTTGATGCTGGTGAGCGTGGAGTTGCTCTTCAACGCTTCGCTGATCGCCTCACACGAGAAAGCAACCCTTCGCCAGCACTAACCTCTTTGAAGCCCACCCTGCCTCGACTTTTTCGACTTTGAGACCACACAGCTCGAAGCTCAACTTGCTGGGGTTGCAGAGTACGTTCAATCGCTTTGCGAGGACCTGCAGAGTGAGTGGCACACGGCTCCCCCGGTGTCTGATGGCGGGCTCGGCACCGGTCCTCTATGCGCACTCGCCCCGTCCAAGCCTTTGCAGCTTCCGGAGCCTTAGCTGCAGAGCCCAAGCAGGCGGGCATGGGCGCCATTTCAATGTAGATCACTCAGAGCTGCGCCGAGGCCGTACTTGTAGCCTGCCAACACTGCTGAGAACTTGCCATCTGGCCCGGCTCTCCCTCTACAAGTTCTCATGGGTCCAGCTTGCCAGATGCGGGTTCAAGCTATGCACCCAGGGGCAATCACAGAGACAGCCCTGGGTGAAATCTTTTTCAGGGTGAAGGCATCCCACAGCATGCGCAGGTATCATGCGACGGCATGCACCCGAGAGCCTCGGCCGCTCGAGAATCCACGAGTAGGCCCGTCTTCTGCAGCTCCGCAAGCACCTGGCGAGGAGAAGAACAAGCTCAAGTTTGAACGACAGGGCCACATCACCGCCTCCTCGCTGATGTAGTTGTTTCTGAGGTTGATGCTGGTGAGCGTGGAGTTGCACTTCAACGCTTCGCAGATCGCCTCACTCGGGAAAGAAACCCTGCTCCCGCATGCTCCAGCAGCACTGACTCGCTGAAACCCACTGCGCCTGCGCACCCTCATCTTCGATGAAGTTGTGTTCGAGGTTTATGCTGGTGAGCGTGGGGTTGCTCTTCAGCGCTTCGCAGATCGCCTCACTCGGGAAAGATACCCCGCTGCAGCATGCTCCAGCAGCGCTGACCTCGCTGAAACCCACCGCGCCTGCGCACCCTCATCGCGGATGCCGCAAACTGCGAGGTTGATGCTGGTGAGCGTGGAGTTGCTCTTCAGCGCTGCTCCAATCGCCTCACTCGGCAAAGAAACCCTGCTCCAGCATGCTCCAGCAGCACTGACCTCGCTGAAACCCACTGCGCCTGCGCACCCTCATCGCGGATGCCGTTGCCCTCATCAACAATGGTTCGGTTGCCTTCGAGGTTGATGCTGGTGACTGTGGAGTTCGTCTTCAACGCTTCGGCGATCGCCTCACGCGGGAAAGCAACCCTGCTCGAGCAAATCTGAACCGACTGAAGCCCACCGCTCCTCCACACCCTCATAGCCGATGTTGCAGTGCCCGAGGTTGATGCTGGTGAGTGTGGAGTTGGTCTTCAACGCTTCGCAGATCGCCTCACGCGGGAAGGATACCCCGCTGCAGCAGCACACACCTCTCGGAAGCCAACCAGGCCTTCCCACCCTCCACGCCGATCGAGTTGTCTTCGAGGTTGATGCTGGCGAGTGTGGAGTTGGTCTTCAACGCTTCGCAGATCGCATAGATCGCCTCACTCGGGAAAGCAACCCTGCTCCAGCAGCGCTGACCCGGCTGAAGCCCTACCGGGCCTTACCACCCTCATAGTCATAGCCGAAACCGCAATTCCGGAGGTTGATGCTGGTGAGGGTTGAGTTGATCTTCAGCACTTCACCAATCGCCTCACTCGGGAAAGCAAACCCTGCGCCAGCAGCACTGACCTCTTTGAAGCCCACCGCGCCTGCGCACCTTTATCACGGATCCAGCATACGTTGTGTCCGAGGTTGATGCTGGTGAGTGTGAAGTTGCACTTCAACACTTCGCAGATCGCCTCACTCGGGAAAGATAACCCGCTGCAGCAGCGCTGACCCGTCTCAAGCCGCGCAGGCCTTCCCGCCCTCACCGCCGATGCGGAATTCTTCGAGGTTGACGCTGGTGAGTGTGGAGTTGGTCTTCAAAGCTTCGCAGATCGCCTCACTCGGGAAAGCAACCCTGCTCCAGCATGCTCCAGCAGCGCTGACCTCGCTGAAACCCACCGCGCCTGCACACCCTCATCGCGGATGTTGTTGGCACGTTCCTGTCTGAAGCCCAAAAGCCTTTCCGCCTTCACTTCAAGTCAAAGCTGTTGACTCCCCCGTGCCTCCCATAGAAAACCATGTCCCGAACACGGGCTCAGATCATCATGCCCATAGCCAAAACCCAAGCCACGCATCTCGAGCTCGCGAATCGTTTGGTTCGATGCCAGCGCCTGGCGTGCGAATGCAGGCTCAAACGGTCTTAGACCTGCGAAGCACGCAAAGCAGGCTCAAACTGCCTTAGACCTGCGAAGCCCCGCCTTCGCGAACTCCCCAGCCTCTGCTCGGCCGAACTTCAACTCCCGGAGCCTCAGCACCTTCAGCTTCTTGAAGTAAGGCAGGGCCTTTGCCAGCTGCCCCAGCTGCCCTTCGGGCAGATGTTCGAAGAGTGCATCTTCGCACTCGGAGACTTTCTGGAGGAAAACCTTGAACTGCCCATCCTTCACCTTTTCGGCATCAGACCGATGGGTGAAGGCTGCCGAGTTCATCTCTTCCGCAAAAATCTCCGGAGCCATGGGCACTTTGCCCAGCAGCTCTTGCTGTTGAGACGCGGGAGCATCGATCCAGTGGTTCTGTTCGGAATGGCTCCGGGCGGAGGACCACTCAACCTCCGCCTTGCACCACCCTCGATTTCTGTACAGAACCCGGTTCGCAACCAGCTCTTTGAGCGGACGATCTCGGACCACGGCGCTGCTTGCATCGTAGACTCGCACTCGATACTCAGAACTCTTGCTCGCCGCTTCCCAGACATCGTCTGGGGTGAGGTTTTCAATGCGGAAAGTTCGGGTGCACTCATGGGCATACAAGACGTGCATGTCCTGCATTGACCGTCGAAAGCTCTCTTCTTCCGCGTCCGACTCCCGCTTGAACTGAAAAAGAGACACATAGTCATAAAATAGCCACAAGTCCGAGAAGTAGGCTGCATCGAAGAGAGACACGGCGTCAACTAGGCACTTCAATTGGTGGGCGCATGGGTCCGGATGCTCCCGACTCTCCCAAGCGTGGGACACCGAGCAGATCATCGCATCCCGAGTTCCGGCGGCCCACTCCTTCACTTCTGCATGCGTCACCAGGCCCCACTCCTCCTGCGCACGCTGTTCCGAATGCGCCCAAACGTGCAGTGCAGGAAAAGACCTGCAAACAAGTGCATCGTCTGAGGCTGGGTCGGCTTCTTGGCGTCTCGGCAAGAGGCTCTTCGACTTCAGCAGCTCGTACAAGTACCTGGAACCGCCAATCCGACTCGCAGCATCTGGCGAAAGAGCGACAGCACCAAAACAACGTCTGACTTTGGGTGACACGATGTGACACGGGACAGTACAGAATGACATTATTTTCTGCGTCATCCCCAGCGAGCACTCGGCCCGGACCAGGCGGATGTTGGCGTGGTTGAGGTACTCGGCCAAGCTCTTGGGATCCGTCAAGCCGTACTGGGCCTGAGCATTGAACACATGGGCGGATCTCGAAGAGAAATCTGCATGAATATCGTGCGCACCTGCTGTAAAAACCCTCCATTGCTCCGCGATCGGTAATCCTTCCCATATGATAGATTTAGACAGCGCCTTACCCCGTGTAGCCCCGAATCCCCACACAGCCCTTAGAGCCTTGACTTAGGTGTCGCACCTGTGGGGGAGGCTGCGCTGGCTGCGGAGGGGCGGCCGCCTGGGCAAATTCCCTTTAAACTGCGGTTAAGGTTTGCCGGTGGAAGGTGTGTAGGGGGGATTTTTTAAGGTTTTCCAGAAATCGAATGCCCAGGAAATTAGGGAACAGAATTTGGATAGTATTCGGTGTTTAGAAGGGTGTTACACGAAGTTTTGAAAGGGTTTATGGGTAAACACCTTAAATCATAAGGGGCTCATACATGGTTAGTCGAGTCATAATCCACACGGAACCGCCAAAACCTTTAACCGTACTACTCCCGAAGCATAGAGTAAGCCCTGAACTCTCAAGCCCAACCCCCCCGCCACTCCACATCCATGTGCAATCCCCCAACGCTTTTCAAGACCTGACCTGTGTGCAGAGGCCTCCGCTATCGACAATCCTTCCCCTACGATAGATTTAGACAGCGCCTTACCCCGTGTAGCCCCGAATCCCCACACAGCCCTTAGAGCCTTGACTTAAGTGTCGCACCTGTAGGGGAGCCCGGGGAGGCTGCGGAGGGGCGGCCGCCTGGGCAAATTCCCTTTAAACTGTGGTTAAGGTTTGCCGGTGTAAGGTGTAGGGGGAGTTTGAGGTTTCCCAGAAATCGAATGCTCCTGTAGTTAGGTAATTAGGGAACATGATTTGGATAATATTCGGTGTTTCGAAGAGGGTTACACGAGATTTGAAAAGGTTTATGGGTAAACATCTTAAATCATAAGGGGCTCATACATGGTTCGTCGAATCATAATCCACACGGAACCGCTAAAACCTTTAACCGTACTACTCCCTAGGCCAGCAGTAAGCCCTAGACACTCAAGCCCAACCCCCCCGCGACTCCACATCCATGTGCAATCCCCCAACGCTGTTCAAGACCTGACCTGTATGCAGAGGCCTCCGCTATTGACAATCCTTCCCTTACGATAGATTTAGACAGCGCCTTACCCCGTGTAGCCCCGAATCCCCACACAGCCCTTAGAGCCTTGACTTAAGTGTCGCACCTGTAGGGGAGTCCGGAAAGGCTGCGCTGGCTGTGGAGGGGCGACCGCCTGGGCAAATGCCCTTTATACTGCAGTTCAGGTTTGCCGGTGTAAGGTGTAGGGGGATTTTGAGGTTTCCCAGAAATCGAATGCCCCTGTAATTAGGTAATTAGGGAACATGATTTGGATCATATTCCGTGTTTCGAAGAGTGTTACACGAAGGTTTATGGGTAAACACCTTAAGTCATAAGTGGCTCGTTCATACATGGTTCGTCGAACCAGAATCCACACGGAACCGCCGAAACCTTTAACCGTACTACTCCATGGGCCTAAAACAAGCCCTAGACTCTCAAGCCCAAACCCCCCGCCACTCCACAACGCTTTTCAAGACCTGACCTGTATCCAGAGGCCTCCGCTATCGACAATCCTTCCCCTACGATAGATTTAGACAGCGCCTTACCCCGTGTAGCCCCGAATCCCCACACAGCCCTTAGAGCCGTGACTTAAGTGTCGCACCTGTAGGGG